TTGAATGAAAATATTGAAAAAATAAGCGAAATATTCACATGAAAGCTTCGTACCATATTAATACTATCTTTTTGCCATTTCTTTTTATATATCTGTTTAATAAATATATAATATTAATAAATTATAAAAAGAATTTAAAAAATCTACATTCAAAATAACACAAAAAATGTAGTTTAAAACAAAATTAGACCTATTAATAAGCCATTTTTTAAAAACTTATTTTTAAATGTAAAAAGTAAATATTTGTTATCTGTTTCTAAATTATATATTTATTAATAAATTCTTATATCTGTATATTATAAATTTATTTATAAATACATAATATACATTTAACATATTTAAATGTATAAACGTTTATGAATATTTAAAAAAATATGTGTTATTACTTATTGTTTAATTTCCGTTTTTCATAATAAAAATTATATTTTTTCTCTAAAAATGCTATACTTATACATTTTGAGTAAAATCAAATCTAATCAAATATTATCTAATATGCATATATTATATTATGCATTCCCTAATATTATTACTTACTGGTTTTATTGTGAACGGTTGTGGATTATTTGAGGCATGAGACTCAATTCCAACATTTGCAAATTCATGTAATTTATACGTCAATGGAGAATGAGAAATTGTTTGAGATCGTTTGGGAGCACTTTCTGTATAATAATAAACATGACACTAATGATGTAATAAAAAATGTACAACATATATGATAACTTTTACGTAATTTATATGTGCACAGTAATTTAACATTTTTTCAACTGCTTTTATAGAGTTGTGAAATATTTTTGTTAATATTTTAGTATATTTAGTAATATATATGTATATATATGTATATATTTGGTAATATATATATATATATATATAGCTGACCTTGAGAGCTTTCCAAAACACTATAATCAAATGTTTCTTCATTGAATACTTTTCGAGTTATAAAGCTCCAAAATTGCAACTTTGGAGCTTTATAACTCAAAAAGTATTCATTGAAGAAACATTTGATTATAG